AGGGGTGGGGGCCTGAGGGGTACTATTTGTCTAAGTTAAGTGAAGAGGAGTAACACAAACATCATTTTTCAATTTTAACTAAACTTATGTGACAATAAAATTTCACATGGCATTGATTTAAGAGATCCGATGGATGACAATTCTACCCAAACCTGATCTTAAGCGATCCGATCGACCACTAAAATATATAAATTCGAACAGAAAATAAAATAATCTGAACCCGACCTGAAATTATTTAACTGAACCCGACACCCAGTCGGGCCGATTGTGGGTTTATAATTTTACCCGACCCGAACCAACCCAAACCCAAATATTTTATAACTTAATAGCATATTTAATTATTTATGGATATAATGAGCACTCCGTATAATCTCTTGGCAACGTATTATTATATCAAGTATGCATTATAGGATTCTTTTATAATTCCTTAATATAAAAAATGAGACACAAAAAAACTGACAAAAAATCAGATTTATTCTTTTTAAAATTCTTAGGGTGTGTTGAATTGATTATTGGTTAAATTACGATTTCGAGTTCAGATTCGGGTTTAAATGTCGGATTCGAGTCGGGTCGGGATTTTGGTTTAAAAGTCGGGTTTTGGGTTCGGATTCTAGTTTTAAAAGTCCGATCAAGTTCGGATATAGTACTATCCAAACTGAACCCGATCCGTTGTCTCTAGATCTAGATCTGCATCCATACTCCTTCATTTACAAATGCATGAGAGAGAAGCTCGTTTTCCATCTACCAATTAACTACTCATTCTGTTCTAGAATAATCTTTCCATTTTGATTTACGAGATTTAACCGAAATTATTTTCAATTAATTTATTTAATTATGGGTTTAAAATTTAAAAATAAAAATCATATACTTTAAAAACTACATCAAAAGATGACATGACTATATTATTTTATCAAGTAACTGACAAAAAATATGTAAAGAAATTCATTAAAGTTTGACCCTTTGAATAATGACTAAAATATCATTTCAGAACCAATGAAGTATAAGTCAAACATGATAGGTGTACCTCAATGATTGTACCCCAAAATATACTTTAACGAGTTATAGTCACATTTTAATAAATACATTGATACAAAATATCAGTACGAGTCTAAAGTCTCATCTCACACTGACGTTTTGTGTCAAATCAAGTAATCAATTGTTGGGGTGCAATTATATTAGTTCAATAAAAGTGGTGGTATTTGAAATCTTTTACTCCCTCCGTCCCTATTTTTATACTTCGTACAAAATAAGAATTATGAGGTAAAATCTTACGATTTTTTGAATTATTTTATTTACAAATTGGTTAAGAAATAAAAATTACGTATTAAAAAAATATTTAAAAAATTCTACTCCCTCCGTTCTATAAAAATGTTCCTATTTTGACTTTGTGTAAAAATAAGGAAGTGTTAAATTGTAGTTGACTTCCAATTTTGCCCTTGATGTGATGGATTGAGTATTAGAGAAAAAATATGATGTGATAGGTATGGTATGAAAAGGTAAGGGTAAAAGTGGTTTTTTAATAGAAAGTGAAAGTGTTTTGTTGGAAGTAAAAAAATGAAAAAGGAAGAGTTTTTGAGAACGGAGGGAGTATAAAGTAAGAGGTGACAAAAATATTTTATTTTATTAAATAATCAATAAAAACATACAAATAAACAAAAGTAATGGAAAAGAGAGAGAAAATAAAATTATAATCAAAGCCAATAATATTATTATTATTGGCTTTGGCCTGGACTGCCCTGCCAACTTTATTATTCTTCTTCTTTCTTTTTTCTTTCTTTCAATGGGATCATCATTGTTGTTGTGAAATATTTAGATGAACCATCCCACCAATTCAACGAAAGAAAGAAAGAAAGAGAACAAAAGGGGGAGGACCACATCAAACACTTATTGCCATGCATCCGTATCTTTTAACTTTTCCAACTCGGACGGACCCTTCCATTCCCTTACTTTGTGCATCTGGTTCGGAGAAAATAATATCACTCACTCATTCTTCTTTTTTCTTTTCTTCTTCTTCTTCTTCTTTTTTTTTCCCCTTTTTTTCTTTCTCCAGTGTTAGGATTTTTTTATTTATTTATTTAAACAAGGGAAATTATTTATTTGTTCCTTAAATACTCTGTACTGACTACTCCATTTATTCTGTTAATCCTTATATGGAGTAATCTTTTATTTTATTATTTAATTTGAAAAAAAAAATATGAATGAATATAAACATATACTCTGTAATAGTTTGTTAAAAAAGAATTGAGGGATTATGAAATAAATTCACAAATTGTGGTTTAAAATCTCTCCCAGATGATATTATTTGGTCCGTGAACTAAGGGTACGTACTAGATTGTGACTATTTAAATACTCCATTATTTGTTTATGGATTGCAAATTGATTTTGACTAGATTGATCAAGATGAGAAGCAAATTATGCAAAGGTGTTTTGATTATGAAGTGCGTGCTTCTATGGGTACATATTATTTTTGTAGATATGATTTTTTTTATTTTTTATTTTTTTTAAATGCACATCTAGTAAGGAATTGTTTATTTGAGTCATGTCCAACATAGAATTTGAGCTACACTCTTCACTTGCCTAACAGATCAGAGATTTTAATTTTTAATGGTCTATCAAAATCGAACTTCGAGCCAAGTCTCAAAGATATTTTTTTTTTTGTAATTTCACTTTCATATATTTGTTCTGTTCTTATATTACAAAACACTATATATTTAATTTTATAATGTTTTAAAATATATATATATATAATTCAGTAGTTAAAATTTAATTTTTGAAATTAATGAATGAAAAGGACTTTTATGAGTGCCAAACACACCCTGCCAACATTGCCAACTGCCCATCTCCATTCTTTGTTCACATTACCACAACAAAGCAAATGTCTTTTTCAATTGTGTGAACCACAAAACTTATGAGGTTGGGCAACGTTGAAATAAAATTTGGCGATAAAGTAATGGGTTTTTTCTCCCTTTTATTTTTGTATGTCCACTATTTTTTCTTAAATAGTGAGTACTTTATTTGATTAAATGTATTTAATTTGAATGTATTGTCCAATTTTTGTTTACTTTATATTGCCCATTTCTACGTATAATTAATGATGGGAATCTCATTATATTTCTTAATTTTCATGTTACTAAAGAATGGTGGAGCCCAGGGAGTAATTAAAACGTACCTCGTACTAGTAATGGTAAAAATTATACCCCTTTTAGATTACAATATTTCCTTTTAGACAAAATTAAGGAAGACTCAAATCAGTATTTTTTTCTCCAAATTAACCCCAAAATAGTATAGGAATGGGTGGGTGAGTGAGATTTGACATTGAAATGATAAAGAGAAGGAATGGTAAAAGAGTCCATTTAGTGTAAAAGTAAACACTTTGTAATTCTTTATATGATTGTGGTGCAAAAGTAAAAACGAGGGAGAAGAAACCCTTAAGCAATCACCATAGCCGTTGCATTCATTACATACACGACACTAGTAATACAATATAATCAAAACTTTTATTTTACAATTTCCATATATATGATAAATTTGATTATTATACACGTACCGCTAATAATCATTGAAACAAGCGTAAATAAGGTCTTGAGGCTAAGCAAATCGCTAACCCAAAAAACTTTGTTGCCGCAGCAGCTCATGAGGGATAGACAAGGAAGGAGAACACGATTTGGAGAGGAGACATTCCAGCGTTTGGAAGGAGACAATGTTACCCACCGAACATGAAATGAAAACAGAAAAAGAGATGGTGGGTCTTACAAGGTCAAGAAAAGGTCTTACAAGGTCAAGAAAAATTTAAACATAAAAATAAAGAGAAAGAAAAAAATTCGAAAGCTCAATCAGGGTAGCACCGAGTTAATGCAAAAACGCATCAAATTTGAGGGTGGAAGGGGCCAGGGAACGGCCAGTTCGATCAGTTCCCATGATGCCGGAGTAGTCATAGTCGTCTTCTTCTTTTTCAAAAGCTCCACCATTACCTACATCGTCATCAAATCCGATCATATCATTTTAGATTCCCAACAATAAATCAAATCAGCTTAATAATAATAATAATAATAATAATAATAATAATAATAATAATAATAATAATAATAATAATAATAATAATAATAATAATAATAATAATAATAATAATAATAATAATAATAATAATAATAATAATAATAATAATAATAATAATAATAATAATAATAATAATCTCCAAAAGATAAATAAATATATACCTCGTGTAAGAAGCATTGCTTTCTGCAGGGTCGTCGTCATCTTTTCATTCTCCTCCATTGAGTTAGAGGTACAGAGAGAGATGGCGTTGTGGTGTGGAAGAGTGGCGGGCTTTATATAGAGAGGGAGGCCGGGGAAAAAGGTTTACGAAGTGGGCTACGCTCTTGGGCTTGATTATGACCACACCAAAGCCCATTATGCATTTGTGTAGTTATATTGTGGAGTACAAAATGGAAAAATAAAAAATCTCTAGATAGGCAAAAAGAATGAAAATTCTCAAATAAAATAAGCGCGACATTTTTTGTATGACCCAATTAAATACTTCTTCCCTCCCCCCATAAAGATGTTCTCATTTTGACATTTACAAATTAAAATTTAAGGGAAAAATAATTTGTATTGACTTTTCAAAAATATGTTTGATGTGATAGGGATGTTAAGATTGGGATATTACAAAATTTTGTTCCGCTTGTGCATGACACGAGTTACAATACTAGTTATAAATAAATTTGTTTTATCCATCATTCTCGAAGATAAAATAGTGTACTCGAGTTTTGATTCTTCGCAGATTCAGATGTTGGTGCTAATGATCGACGATTGCGAATTCCGTTAAGTGGCCGTTATCTTTTTAACGGGGACCCAAAACTCGCACAAATGTGGAAATGAAAAAAAAAGTTAGATGAAAATTTATTTTAAAAAAAGTTAAATGAAAAAAAAAAAAATTGGAAGGAGAGGAAGGAATAAGGAAGTTTAATGAATTAATGCAGTAAGGGCATGCAGGGAGGACAGTAATAATATATAGTACTCCGTACTTCACGTGGCGGTACGTGGAAATTAAATTGAATGCAGTTAGGAATTGAATGAGAGCAATGCTAGGCCCCATTTGTCCCCGACCCTTCTCTCCACCACTTAATTTTATTTTATTTTTATTTATTTAATTTTTTTTAGTTTCATGCCTTTTTTTGTGGTAATGGAGGGGAGTGGGGGATAAATGGGATACACCTTTGGTGTAGCCCTAACATTTTTCATTGAATGAGTATAAGAATGAATAAATGAAATGGAAAAGGACGGGTCATGCATGTGTGTGTGTAGATATTATAGCCTGCTGCCCCGTTCCTGGTGGAGTGTGTGAATTAACAGTGAATGAGAAGTAAATTATATTACTGTGCTTTCTTCCTTCCTTCCTTCCTTCCTGCCTGCCAGACAATTCTATGAGATATATATATGGAATGAATGAATGAATATCCTGACCTACCATTGCATGCATGTCTATACTATACAAACTACGTCGTACACATGCATGCATTTCTATACTCAATACTCGATATATATGATGGAGCATTATTATTACTATTGCTATTACACTATTAATTACCATTGCGGTTGAATATGTACGGATCGGAGTATATGGAATATGGATGAGAAATATTTTCATTAATAAATAATACGGAGTACTAAAACTTAAGTCATTTCTCTAAATAATAATTAAATTGTTTTATTCCCTAAATAGCATTTAATAATGTTAATAATGACCAGTAATGGCAAAATTTTACTTAAATAATGACAAATGGATAATGACTAAAAGTGCTACGTTAGGATTGGAAAAAAAACACATGTAGTGCTATTTAGAAAAAATCATTATATTTTAATGCTATTTACGTAAATTTTTCGCCGGATGACCCAATGAATGAATGAACAAGAGTGGATACGTATGTACGCGTCTCACCGTAAACAAGTACACGTAATTAATTAATGATCATACCTTATTTTTTTTGAAACAATGATCATATCTTATCGTTAGCCTTGGTTTGCTAAATTTCATGTTTTCATATAGTGTATTTAGTTATAATGTAAAATTATTAAAATTATGTTTATTTTAAAATATATTTTTTAAATATAAAATTTTTATAATATTTAATTATTTTAAATTATATTCATTATATGGTCAAATGGTGTCACAGTTTGACCAAAAAAGTCAAACTTCGAAAATCTTTTAAGGACGGAGAGATTAGTTGATAAAAACTTACCAACAAATAAAAAATCTATAATTTTTAAATACTCCGTAGTAAACTGTGATACTCCATTAATTTTCGGAATATTCATTATGTGTGTGGGCCGAGGCTAGGGCCGCCTTGGGGTAGGCATAGAGGACTCTCGCTTAAGGCCCATTTCATAAGGGGGTAATAATTATTTTTTCCTCTAATAGCACTAGTAATATTTTCCTTATTATTGCAAAAAAATAATTAGTTTAGGGTTTTAAGCTTTCAATTTTAAATAAATATCTGAATTACAATAATAATATGACACACTCAATCATTTAAATTCATCATATGATATTGCTCTTTTTTAAAATAATTATAAGAGAAGCCAAATTTTTTAAATTGGCGTAAGGCCCATAAAATGTCAGGGCCGCCTCTGGCCGGGCAGAGCAGGGCAGGGGCAGCTACCGACATCGTACATTGCCATCCACACCAACAACAGCGCGCATGCTGCACTTACCTGCATGCGTACGTTAATTGCCATTCACCATCGGATCGGGGGAAAACATACTAAAGAAAAGAGATAACTCTAGAGTCTATATCTTTAAAAAAAAATGACCAACACAATAGCCTTTTCGTCCAAGGACGTTTTGAAGTCTCTCAAAATCAATTTTGGTATCGTCCGCCATAAGTGTACAGTTGTGATCAATATTTTTCACTATAGCATAATACAGGAAGGCCTCTATTCATCCAACCGTATTACAGTTACTACCTACATACATTACCTGTCACAAAGAGCTGTGCCCCACATAAAACACTTGATGTGTGCTCAAAACAATGAATCTTTAGAACGGAGAATTTCATTCAAATCGAATGATTCTTCAGCAGGGGGGATTTCATTCGAATCAAATGAATCTTCAGCAAGAGGAATGCTGCTCAGATCCAATCCATCTGCGGGGAAGTTGGGGCCCAATGGGCCTAAAACCCCATCAGAGCTCAGACTCAATCCACTCTGCATTCATAGCATCAATTAGTGATACGTGTAGGTTGGTTAGAGTGTTTAGACCACCAAAAGCATCAGTAAAACTTGAAATGATGATCAATACCTCGGGTTGGAATCTTAGTATATCTGCACGAGCCAATGCTTCGGCTTGAGCAATTCTTTGCCTGAATGTTTGAGCCATCTCCTCGGCCTTCACAGCAATTAAATGGCAACTTGTTAGTACAAAATGTGTTGATGGCACACCCCTTCTCCTTGCGACAGAATATTACTTTTTGATAAAATATATTTGCACTTTTATTGAGAAGGTCAAAAGCATTTTGATTTTGGAGTGGGTTAAGAGCATTTTTATTCTTGAGATAGCTTAGGATATAAGACCTTTCTCATTTAAGAATTATTCATTGAACATAACTCACATGCCAAACAAACTCTTAATTACCTTCTCAAAAACGAGGGTAGGATTACGAATCATGTCACCAGGTGTAGGCTCCAGCTTCTTTGTAGAGAGACTCACACGGCCCCTATCACGGTCATGGCTGAGAACCATGACCTGGAAGATGCACAAAAACAAGTTGTAGTAGCAATGTAATAGCTATTCATAGACGAGTTGTATATGATATGATTTGTCACAATTCAAATTAGAGCTTTCCAAACCTTTAACGTGTCGCCTGGTTGAAGCACTGTTGCAATATCTGAAACCCGATCATGACTGATCTGGCTAACATGTAGAAGCCCATTAATCCCTCCTAAATCAATGAAAGCACCATATGGCTTCACGTCCTGAACCGTTCCCACCACAACTGATCCAACTCCAAACTGCACCTGGCCATCAATGGTCGCTTGGCGGTTACTGAGCACAAGTCTAGACTCCTCCTCATCAACCTCAACAAACTTTAGAGGAATCTCCTTACCCAAAAGCTCCTCGTCCGTGGATTTCTGATTCATTTTGTTCATTTTATAATGTTACTACTACTCACTCTTAAAACAAAACAAAATCATATCATAAACAGCTTTTTAGATATTTGTTAGTCCCGAAAAGGCTATAGAAAGTTTGCGAGATGTAATGTGTAACTAACAGTTGACATCTGTGAGAATGGAACAAATGCACGAAGGCCTTCAACCATTGCCATGACACCACCCCTGTTTGCACCAACCACCTACAAACTCAAAACTATGAAATATCATGCCTTAAACCAGGTTCCAGATAGTAAAAGTCTGCGAGTACACAACAGCGGGGGTGGGGTGAGTGGAGGATACTATTTCCTTTTTTGTACCTTTCCATTGACGATTACATCTTCATTTTGAAGCTGCCAACATCGTTCCCATGCAATGTCATATTGGAGGGAGCGCAAACTCAAAATCAAACTGTCATTAGCTTCATATTTCCCAATAACCACAAATTCCTCTCGTAAGCCAGGAATTATGCTAGCCTCTTCTACCTTCTTGATGGGGTGAATGCATGCCTCTATAAGAGGCAAGAATGCCGGTGATTTGGTGTTGACATCAACAAAAGCTCCATGTGCGAGAACCCTAGTTACTGTACCTTTTATCTACCAAGTCATTTAAAACAATGCAACATTTGTCATTGTGCTCTGATAATACAAACTCTGGCGTTATTACAAGCTTTTATTACGAAATAACTTTGCAACCCGTTAATCATTACTATTTCTCTATCAGTATCCATTCCAGAAAACCCCATAAAACCTTGATTCAAAACAATCATTCAGGTTTGATTAGACAGTCATTTCAACTAAGCATCCATTTCGTAGTCAAACAGATTGATTTATTAATTAACAGTTGCAGATACTTCTACCCCCTCCCAGCAAATTCTAAATGCCAATTTTATTCATTTTCAGAAAAGGGAAAAAGAATCGCTTAATCCCAACAAACTAACAAGCCCCGCCTGCATTTTTTATGTTCTTTTTTTCAATTCAAAATATGGCAGCATAAATCTAGACATAGCCTCATGAAAATGCAAGCCTTCAAGCTCAATCTCAGTTATATTGGCAGTATACTAATTATACCCACAAATTCAACAAAACCCTGTCACATCAGTAACTGTGCGGGAATCAGAAAAACTAAACGACATTCAGCTTCAATTCTCGACACCGTAGGGTAATGTCGGACTGGAGTAAGGGGTAAGGGCTGACCTTACTACCGATTTCGCAATCGACATCGTACTTATCCAGAGCAGCTTGGAAGTCTTCCATGGTGAAGGAGACGCCTTCCATGGGAGCGGTGCTGCACCGCTCGTACGCTTCTCCAAACATCTCTTTGAGATCCTGTCGCTCTCTTGTCTGGGCATTGCTTAACGCCGCCGCTGCTTGGCAGACTACGCTTAGATTCTTTGTGTAGGAATGGATGTGAGCGAATTTCTTGGAGGAGCCACCGGCTCTTGGGTTCGAGAAATACGGGCATTTTAGCACACCAATTTGCTGAGCGAGTGAAGCCATTCGAATACAATGTGAGAGGATGAAGAGCTGCTTATGAGATGGATAAGCTATGGAAGTGGGGGGACTGGGGAAAGTATGTGGATTATTTAGGACTGAATAAGATTTGTTTTAAATCTAATTGAACAAATTTTTGTATTATTTATTTATTAAAATTAAAATTGTACAATATTAAAATCAACAATCGAATATTCGATACTAATGTATACCCTAGACAATGAGTATATTCAGGGCCAAATACGGAGTCCAGCTGAAAGGCCCAAATTGCGAGACAAACAAGGGGTCTAAGAATGTTACTAGTTTGGCGTTGTCCTCGCTGCCCGACTTCTAAAGGCGCACATTTACATCAACTCTCCGCCGAAAGCAAATCATGAACACAGTCCGATATGTGGGTGTGGCTAGCCCAGACTCGTTTAACTCTACTCGGCTACCGATCACACAATGCTCCCGTACATGGAAGAATCTAGTCGCACCTTCCCTAATACATCTGAACACAAGCATTGAACCTTAATTTTGTCGATCTAGTCACTACAAAAAAATGACTTTTTGTGGCACTAAATTTTGCCACAAAACATATAAAATTAGCCACAATAATAATTTGTAGAAATTTTGGAATTTGCCACAAGGTTGTCACGAATACCCTGTTACAAAAGGTATTTGTGGAAAATTTTAATTTGCTACAAAAAGTATAGTTTTTGTGGCAAATTATGATTTGCCACTAATAAAACTTTGTCACAAAAGCTCATATTTAGTGGCAAATTTTAGTTGCCACAAATTATATAGTTTGCCACAAAAGCTAATGTTTAATAGCAAATTTATGTTGGCACAAATTATCCTGTCACAAAAGCTCACATTTAGTGGCAACTTTTAATTGCTACAATTATTAATTGATTGTGACAAACCTAATACTAGTGATAGTTTATAATTGTGACAATTTAAATTTCTTACAATTTTTTTTATCATATTACATTTTTCTTAAATAAATAGTTTTACTACATTATGGAAAGATACAAGGACATGTTGTGTAATGCCCAAAGCTAGAGTACAATAATCTAAAGTCATGAAATGACAAATTGTCTAAACAACCAGTAACTACATTACAAGATGAAAAAAAGCCTAAAACCACTTATGCTTGGAACGGTTGTGAGACCAATACTCCTTGAAAAGCTATCAATAGAACGATCCCTCTGTCTTCATTAACTTCATTGGTTCATCATTTCTGGTTTGAGCTTGATCATTCTCAAACTAGCAAATTGATGTCAAAATTGTCTTCTCATACAATTGCACCTGGTAGCTTCAACCTACATAATAAAAATAACTGGAGGATCAGATCTCATGGGTTATCATTTGATGGCATGAGAGAGACACTGGAAAGTTTAAGCTGTCAAATCTAGAAAACACACGTCGAATCTCATGACTAGCAGAGAGTTGGTATCTGATGATTATCTTTTTTTAAATGGTGACAACCAGACAAATTATATTCTTTCCATCTTAGCGGTAAAATAATCATCCATGCAAAGCACGATGGTAACCATAAATCGGACACAAATATACAAAAAGACAAGCGAAAGAAAGAGGAAAGAAGAAACTCACATGTCGTACAAAATCGAAAAGGTTTTTACAAAAATTGATAGACTAAGTTCTGTTTGCTATATACTTTACAAAAAAACATACGAACTCTAAAATATTAGAGCCCAATTGGTGAGAAAAAAAGTAACAAAATGAAAATTGGTCTAAGGTGGCCATACACCCAATGACCTTGCGATATTTTTTTACACCGGCTTGTTACCTTTGGAGAATTGTATCCATTTCAGTTATGTGTTCTTTGATCTAGGTGGGATATCTCTGGCATCGGCTAATGGTAAAAAGAGGAGCTGAGGGACCAATAGCCTTTGATGATGAAAGCACTTGCATGTGAGGAAGCTATGACATGGCTAAGATCTAGAGGGTGCAGGATGTAGAGATCTTTTCCGATTGTGAGGATTTGGTTTTAGCACTCAACACATGAGAGACACTTTTGTCTGTTCTTCCTTCAGTTCTTCTTTCGTGTTTTGAGTTGATGAATTGTTTTTGAAGGGTTTGTTTCATTTTTGTGAGAAGAGATTTGAACATTGTTGCCCATATTTGGGCTAGACACGCCTTAGCTCAACCAAGTTTGTGGGATTTTTCCTTGCCTAATTTTGTAACTCATTTGATTTCTACCGAATTAAGGTCTTCATTCTGTCGGAAAAAGAAAAATAAATTTTAGGAAGAGATATTTAATCCAGATTTTAAAAAATTATGATAAATTCTTTAGGAAAGGACCTTATAAGTGGTTATAGAGACAGATTCATTTTAAAATACCCCCTTCGTACTAAAACTATTTTCCTAGTTACTATTCACACGGTCAAACTAAAATTACTTTCTTTACCTACTTTTATCAATTATTTGATAAAATAATATAGTTTTATCACTTCTTATTTTGCAAAACTTTTGATGTACTTTTTAAATATATAAATTTTTTTATTATTTGATACTTACAATCAAATAAATTGAATTGAAAATAAAATTCGTCAAATTTCGTAAATACAAACGAAAGATGATTTTAGGATTGGGGAGTATATATGTACGCAGATTTACGGGTTGTTTGGCAACTTCTGAATAGGTAAGTGCTGAACCAGTAAGAGGTCTGAACCATTAAGAGCTAGTATATTGCTTAACTATTCAGAGGCAAATGTCTGATCAATTCAGATAAGAGGTCTTAACCATTCAGACTCTGTATAATACTTAACCATTCAGAGGCAAATCTCTTAACCATTCAGACATCTGAACCATTAAGAGGCTGAAACAAACAGTCTGAATCATTAAGTGCTGAATCATTCAGACATTTGAACCATTAAGAGGCTGAAACAAACATCTCCTTAGACCCCAACTAACTTCTATCTTGGGATGTTGCAATTGCCACAAAAAAAGAAAAGTGTAGGAGCGTAGCCACATGACATCCCAACTGTAGTAGACCCATAATTGGACCGGTTCAAATAACCGGACGGTTGGCGATGCATCCGCCTGGCTCAGATACTGCCAAACAGGATCCTTCCGGCCTCGCCATACACGTTCTCCTCCGTATTTGTCTTCCACATCTCAAAGGCAGTGGAATTTCAACGTTTTCTTAATCAGACTCTCAGATGATCATGCGCGTGCATATGCTCTCACGAACCGGTAGGGTTTCATACATCCACACAGCTCTGATTTCATCCTCTCAATGGCAGTTTGTGAAGAGCGATCACCATCTTTCTCAGCGATCAACTCTTGAGCAGCCTTGAAGGATCACATTTGTTCATCATGTTCGAAGCACATGTAAATATTTTTTTCCTCTCAATCGCATCGTCTGCTCCATTTGCGTGTCATTTCGTTTCCCATTGGCTCTATTTTGTCTATTCTTGTTTAATTTTGAGATGAACTGATAATGATCAATAACAAGCCGAACATGACGGGTCACGGGCGTGTGTGCTTTGAATTTATTAAACTATACTTGTTATCTACGGATGTAGGTCTTACATTTGCTTAGGAGATACCTGGGTGAATACGTCCATGGACTCTCAGCAGAGACATTGCGGATAAGTGTCTGGAAAGGTTTTCAACTCTTTTCCTCTATAGTTTTCCATCTAATCTCCCCTGTGCATTCACTCAATATTTATCCTTTATGCTAACTGGAGTTCTGATAAAATTATCTAAACGATATGGCCTTGTCTTGAAGTTGGGTGTTGGCTATTAGCAGCCGATTGATTGTGTTAGCTGGTTTGAACAGCTCTTTCGGTCAGCTGTTATGTCATCTCAATTTTTTATCAAAAAAAAGGAAAAGTGAAAATCTTCACCCCGTTGAATGATCTCATTATTTCCAAGGGAAAAAAGAAAAGCAAAAAATCTTTGGCACTCATACGGTGTAGAGATTTAGGAATAAGTATCTAGTGTATTTAAGAGAAAAAAGAACATGTGGCGAATAGTTATCAAGCACATTTTCATTTTACATAGAGAATTTATGGGGAAAAAAGAACACACATAACTTGCTTCCCGGATGAATGAATTTCATCGCGGAGGTCTCTAGTCCATCAACCAATAAAACAAAGACAAAATGGATAGAGTGGTCAAATACATTGGGACGCATGGAGTAATAGTTAATTCAAAGGGATAGGTTTTTTCCCATCCATCTTATTTAACAATTCATATTATTACTGTAAATTTCGTTGACACTAATGATTTTTCTATAGGTGACGTGGTTCTCAAAGATTTGAAGTTAAAGGCAGAGGCACTGAATTCACTGAAACTACCAATAACTGTAAAAGCTGGTTTTGTAGGTACTATAACCCTAAAGGTAATTCTCTACTTCTATATAATGATTAATATCTTAAATTAATCTCTGTACCACTGAGCCACTTTAAGTTTCTTTAACTGCTTTCTTCTTTGGTCGACTACCACTTTAAGTCCTCCCCCCATTTTTTTCTTCATCACCCTTTCACACTATTGTGTTATATTTATATAATTATATATATGTATATTCCGTATATATTATATTTTGTTTTTTCGTGGTGTGTGTTTTGACAGTTTCATCTCTCTTGTGCGTAACTTTGTATTCTTTAACAGAATCATCTCTCTTGTGTATACATAGAACTTACCTACATGAATACTACCTTCACCAACAATGTGTATAAAGACAACACACAATGTTTACAAAAGTCAGCTCCAAAGGCTCTCCCTATAAGTTTTTCTGCCTAGAGAATAAGTGACGCGGAGACATGGTTGCCCCTAACCATTTGTATTCTATTGAATAAGAGGAGAAGTATATTGTTTTGACAAATGAAGTCAGTAAAAAATTTTCTGATTTATAATTCATAGATCAAAGATGTACAAAATGGGCCAATCCCACTATTATTAGGTTTAGGGCTACAATATTTAACACTTTCCTAAAGCGGGAACATAAGTAACAAACTTTATATAGGGGCCAATGACTTAACTATATCTAAGATTGATTGAACAAATGCAATTTTTGCCACAGGAGAGAACATATCCTTGTAGTGAAAACAAAAATCTGAGTATTTCCTTGCAATTAACTTGTCAGTGAGAAGATCAATCATACAATCTGACTCAACCTTACAGTATAGATCCATTCATCCATCTGCACCCAAGACCCAACAACTATCACTGTGGGAACTGGGAAGAGAGACTAACTCCCTAGTATAACTCGATTCTAGAGCCTTTATCTTGGTCAACATAGATTGGCACTAACACATATAGGAAAGGGCCTTACAAGTGGTTATAGAGACAGATTCAAAAGACAAATGTGCTGAAAATGCATAGTAAGAGGTATAGACATGGTGACAACTTAAGAAGTAATAGATGAAGTGATGGACCTACAACTCAGGTAGGAGGCAATTCGGGTGAGTTAACATGAGCTTCAACTACAAAATGATGGAGATGACGCTGAATGTTGATTTAGTGAATAAGTTGGAGGCAGTAGATTGGATCTTGAGTCTGGTTAGGTGTAAGATGTGGGGACTGTGTATTTGTTGCATCTCTTGGAGTGACTATCTGCATCAGTGCATCCATTATCCTTGGTCCTGATGGTTTATCTTTTTATTTCTTCAGTGCCTCTTCTTCTCCGTCGCGTGATTGACAACCCTTTTCTAGGTTCCAAATGTTTTTATATCTCAAATACTATGATCGTCTGGATGTACTGAGTTTGTTGTGATATGCTCTATTTTTCACGTTATGATAGAAATTTATGCTGTCCAAATCATACATCAATGCCTTAATGGTCATGGTTAGCGTTACTTTTTATTTATTTATTATTTTGCATCCTGTATGTCACTATCCTATATCCACAGGATTTATCGGGCCATGCTGCTTTTCCAAATTTATTTATTTATTTTATAACAAAGACAGGTTCCATGGAAAAGCCTCGGAAAAGAGCCTGTTATTGTTCTCATTGATAGAGTTTTCGTTCTTGCTCATCCTGTTGTTGTTGGTAGATCTCTTAAGGTAGGGATAATTTACTCATTTCTGATTCTAGTCAGTGATATATATCTAGATTATAGTCACAGCTGATTAATAGTTGTGGTTACATTTAGGAAGAGGACAGGGAAAAACTTTTTGAGGCCAAACTCCAACAGATTGAGGTAAAACTAATTATATTTTGTACTCTACTTGAACTCTTTCTAACAGTAGTTGTTTCCCATATGATTACAATTTCTAATTTGAAATAACAGCCGGTCTTGAATTTCATATGTTCTTCGGTCAAATATTTCTTCATAGGAAATCCATTCTTGGGACTAATGGTCTAATGTGCTATTGAAATAAAAGCCGGTCTAGAACTTCTGATTTTTGTTTGCTGGATGTCAGATAGGCATAACATGTTTGATTGCTAGTTAATATTCCTTACTTTTCATGTAGGAAGCAGAATTGGCCACCCTTGAAGCACTATCAAGGTCAAAGCTTGGAGGAAATGTATAATATTGTTTCTGATTTGTAGTTTCTATTTGTTGAAGATTTTTTCATGGTCAACACTCATATAGTCTAAAATGTTCTAAATTTATCTTAATTTGCCCATGTTGCTGCCTGCTTTCAGGTTTCTTTTATTATGGAACACGTAACAACTTGATGATTGCACTGAGCTAAAAAATTAAAATTAGACTGTATTAATTGCAAAAATCTTTTCGGGGAGATACGAGGAAAATATATGGCTGTTCCTCTTTGGGTTTTCACTTTTCCAAATTTTCATTTACACCGACACAATTCTGATGTTTCTTTAAACATAAAAAATGGACTTTTAATGTGATACATGTGCACCCTTTTGTGTACTTTGATTATCCTAATATTACTTGTAGATGAGTAGTGTTTAGATATCCAAACAACTCTCCTGTTCAGGCAAGCAACAACTTCTCCAACAATTATATTTTATAACCTCTTATTTAGATAGATTTTTTCTTTGAGACTAGGAAAATAATGCTCTTTAATAAGCCATAAATTTTCTTTAAGAATCATAGCACTCCAATTTCATTCTGTTTTAAGCTTATCAAGTTTTAGATAGAGTCCATGAATCCATTTAATTGTTTAGTACATGTAGCAATTTGTGACATTGACTGCCATTAATTGCTTCTTTTTTTATTTTTTCTTCTTTTCCTTTTCAGCCAGCTGTAGGAAATTCTTGGCTGGGATCATTAATTGCTACAATAATTGGAAATCTTAAAATCTCAATTAGCAATGTTCATGTCAGATATGAGGATTCTGTCAGGTTGATTTGTGTTGTTGCTTGAAATTTTTGAAATCTTTTGGAAGTTGAAATGATGAACTAAGTTTTATACATTTAGCTTTCTCTCATTCTTTTGATAATTTTGGGGGTCACTTCATTTTGTTTTTCTTTTGGCCATCTTCAAGCAGCCATCCCGGGTATCCATTCTGTTGTGGTATTACTCTTGCAAAGCTCGCAGCGGTGACAATGGATGAGCAAGGCAATGAAACCTTCGATACAAGTGGTGCTTTGGATAAATTACGCAAGGTCAGGTTCATAATCTGGTTAAGATTCTTTTTTGTGGAAAATAGACAAGCCTTACAAAATGTTCATAATATGGTGAAGTTATTTTTTGTGGAAAAGTAGATTAGGGTTACACAAAACTTGACAACTCTCTTGATTACCTCATGCTTTGATCATTGCATACCTCATGAAGACATCATCAGTTATGCCATCATGACATTACTATATTTTTCCTCTAAATAAGGTCTCTTTCGTAGATCTAATTATGAGAAAAACACCTTAACTCTTGCTCTGTATATGAATTGTATATGTAGTTATGTACATAAATGATTCTTTGTGTTCGAGCCGGAGGTCTTTTGGAAACCTCTTTGGTTATCTACCACTTTGGGTAAGGGTAAGGGTAAAGGTAAGGCCGACCTAAACCCTCCCCCAGACTGCACTTTGCGAGACTCCACGGGTAGGTTGTTTTTCCGGCATGAACAGTCTTTTCTGATGTGAAAAGTAGACTTTTACCATGAATGCTATTATGTGGTAGTGGTCCGCAAAATCTGAACCCACGGCTGTACACATCTTCTCGTTGTGTCTCATCGTCAAAAACCTCACTACGCACCCTCACATGCATTCCTTTTCAGACAGAAAACGGTTTGGGTTTTCTCCACTCAAATAAAACTAGACATTTGATGATGACATCACTGTATTTTTCCTATAAATAAGCCCTCTTGTGGGGATCTGTAAATAAGAAAAATGCTTTCTGAACTCTTTCACGCATTTCAATATTTTCAATTGCAACGCGTGCCACTTTCCCTGGTGTACATCAATTTAAAATGCTGGCGCCTATTTTGATATGTTCATACTCATGTTACTGCATTAAGTTACTGTAGTAGGATAGTGATTGTGGATAGGAAGAGAGATGGCTCACAACTACATGTAACGGTGTTTGGATCTGTATGTTGGTACTGCTTGTCTGCTCCTTCAAAGAGTAAATATAATTGCTGCCCTTTTTTAGTGTTCAGATGGTAGTTGAAAAATCTGTCATAGTCTCATGGAGGTCTGTAACAGGTTTTGGAGAAGTAGGACATGCTTACCTAAACTTGATTGTAAAATAACCTCATTCAAAACAAGTATATTTCACATATGCAGCTTCCTTAATCAAAACAAGTGTATACAAGGACTACCCTACTTTTTCAGGTCATCGTATCAGTTCACAACATAAGATTATCTAACACTCTTGTGCAGTTCTCTATTTTATACAGTAGAAGCAATGCCTAACACATCATAGGAATAATTATCTCATGCACTGGGAGATTCTAATTAGTGATTCTAAAAAAAACTTAAAATTTGAATCAAAGCCTAACACTGCCATAGAAATAGCAATCTACATTTCTATCTTGTGAACATTTTGGATTCTTGATCAGGTCCTGGTAAAGCGTAAGTCCATGTGATGCATATCAAAATCCATGTTCAAAGCATGTTAACTGAAATCACAATGGTTTGCTCTCTATATATGTGGGAACAATATTTAATTTTTTGTTCTCTAGTTCCGTAGTTCGTCACGAACAAAGACTATTATCTCTGTCAAGGCTTTTCTGTATCACGTTTCATATGTTATTAATCTTCACTATATGGTCTGGAAATTTAATTTGAGGCCTGAACTATGCTGACATTATTGTTCTAGTTGGTTCAACTTGAAAGGCTTGCTGTATACCATGATACTAACACTGAGCCATGGAAGCTAGACAAGAAATGGGAGGATCTTACACCTGCAGAATGGATCGAGGTACATTCATGTACTTGTTTTACTTTATGTTTTTTTCTTTCTATTGCATCAATATATGTCTATTTTTTATTGCAAATGTTGAAGTACAACTGTTATAGTTATACTAATAGACTCAAAGCCCTACCCATAACATATCTATAGCTCTCTCCTTGTTCCTGGCTGTCCCTTTATTTATTCATTGTATATAGTTGGATGAAATCAAGAGTTAGAGACCAACGTCCCTTTTCTTCTCAACATTAAGCAACATATGTAAGCTTAATCTTTTTTAATGACACTTCTTTTTCCTTTTAGATATTTGAAAATGGCATTAATGAATCGACAAATATCAACACGGTGGTATCTGCATGGACTAGGGAGCACAATTACTTGGTATATCCAATCAATGGGGTACTTAAATATCACCGGCTGGGAAACCAAGAAAGAAGTGATCCTAGTGTTCCTTATGAGCAGGCTTCTTTGATTATCAGTGATGTCTCTTTGACAGCTACAGAGGTGCTAAATGTTGATAGTTTTGGTATTTCAGCTTTCAGTGAAAAATGTGCTTGACTAATAGCTCTTCCACTGTTAGTGTCTTCATGTTTGTAGATTTGAAAGCAATAGCTAGAAACTAATGCCTTATAGATTCTCCTTGTATGCTCTCATCTTGAGAAGTATAATGAATGAACTAGTCCCTTTATAATAAATCATTTACTCTGACTAAGTGGAAGCTAGTTCATTTTCCGTGCTGATCAATCCAAATTATGATCATTGTTAAATAAAGTGTTTTTACATCTAAATCTAATGAATGATGATGACTTAAACTTACAGTTGCATGCTTAGATTTAGTTCTCAGGTTGAAGTTTGTGCTTCTTTTATTCAACCATTTTAAAAAATGCGTGATATCCAATTAATGTAGTTCACCTCCCCTCACCACTTATCCACTAACATTCAGTTCTGCATTTAAAGCCCTGCTTGATTGTGAGCCAACTCGAATGCTCTTTCTCTTCTACTCTACCTTTTCATTGGTTGAAGGACTGACATGAATATTCCTCTTCCTAGCTCATGTTCTCTCATTCTTCTCTTGGAAATGAGTGGGAAATCATTTTATTGTTTTACAGATGCAGTATCATGACTGGATCAGACTTATGGAGGCTATTTCAAACTATAAGACATATGTAGAAGTTTCTCATTTAAGACCACTAATTACAGTTTCAGAGAGACCCAGTTTATGGTGGCGCTATGCTGCCCACGCTGGATTGCAGCAAAAGAAAATTTGGTAAGGCATTGGGTGTTTATATATTACTCTGTACATTTCGAAAATGGGAGAAGTTACATGTGTGCATAGTGAATACCCTATTGTTTGTATTCTTTATACATACATGCACACACACACACATATGAGTTTACTGAATTATGCTCTACAGGTCACATCATGCTTTAAATGAGGGTGTCTAAATATCTATTTAATAAGTTATAATGTAAAGCCACCTTTTCTTGTCAACTAATTGCTTATTTGCATCTTTAATAGTTACAGGTTCTCATGGGATCAAATCCAACATCTATGTAATTTGCGTCGGTGTTATGTACAATTATATGCTGAATCATTGCAAAAGCTGTCAAATGTTGATAAATCCAAAATAAGAAGCATCGAGAAGGATCTTGATCCCAAGGTTATTCTACTGTGGAGGTGTGCAGTAGGTTTTTTTCCCCTACCATTAGTGTATAATGCACCAGTGCAAAAGACACTTGATGCAATTACTTGCATGATCTTCTAGGTTTCTTGCTCATGCAAAAGTGGAGTCTGTCAAATCAAAGGAAGCAGCTGAACAAAGAATGCTTAAAAACAGAAGCTGGTTTTCATTTGCATGGTTTGTTTATAGCTTGTTGATATGCGACTCCATGTTTTATTTTCACTGTATTCTTAATGCTATTTCTATTTAAGAAGTTGACCTTCACCTTGGTGTTATCAGCGTATCTTTAACGTCATCTGATGTTTATTGCCAAGTCAGGCGAGCTGCTCCAGAAGATTGCTCAGCTGGGGAGAGTTCTGAGGACTCAAAATCTGTAGAAGATACATTGACCAAGGAGGAATGGCAAGCCATCAATAAATTGTTAAGTTACCAGCCAGATGAGGATCTGGCACTGCAACATGGAAAGGAGACACATAATATGACACACTATTTGATTAATGTTTCTATTTGTAGAGCAGCAGCAGCGATCATAAATGTTGATCAAACAGAAATTCTTTGTGGGAGATTCGAAAATCTTAACTTGTTGACCAAGTTAAAGCAGCGAACCATACAATGTGATGTCTCTTTAAAATTTTATGGGCTGTCTGCTCCTGAGGGTTCGCTTGCCCAGGTTCTTGTTTTCCTCCACATTCATGTTTGCAGATGGCAATATGTTCCTTTCTTTTTGATGACTAAATATAAGTTAATTACAATATTGTTATATTCTGGCGTGCTTGAGCTTGGAGTCTCTTATAAACAACCTCTCTACTTTTGAGGAGGGGTAAGGTCTGTGCACACACACACACCCTCCCCCGACGCTACTATATGTGATATTCTACAGGGTTTATCGTTGTTGTTATATTGGGGTGGAAATACCTTACAAGCTTTAGTTTAATTTTATTCTGTTCTTTTACCCTGCCAGGAGGATCAATAGTATTTCTACACTTTTCCTCCGTGTGATTTGAACCCATCATGGGTGGAGGCACTCTACCATCTGAGCAACCCTCACTCACCGCAAGCTTTAGTTTTTTCTTGGATGAAATATTGTTTCAGTTAACAAACGGCAACAACAACAATAACCCACTAACCCAGCAGAATTCAAACTTCGTTGGGGTTGGGGGGGGGTTGAGTGATACAGTCTTACCCCTGGAAAACAGAGGCTATTTTTGTTAGACCCTGGAACACTTTTATACCATCTCATATTTTTTTATTGATAGTCAATTTAATATGTAGAGTTTTTTTTGTCATTTTCCATCATCTCCGATGGAGCCAAAGATTCAATTTTTTTTGGGTTTGGGGTATGGTGGAATAAAGCAAAATGGCTCTTTAAACTGTCTACGCAGTTAGTGTATGCAACTTTTGACACTCCTCATGGGTCATTTGGAAACAGCCACTCTGTTTTAAACATAGGTGTTAGGCTACGTACATCTCACCTCCCTACCTTGCAATGGATGGGAGCCTTTGAGGCATTGGGGTAATGTTGTTGTTGTTGTTGTTATTGAAAAGAAGTATATAAATGCAATTTGTAGTTTCTTTGTATTATCGTTGATTAAATTTTGAAAAAAATTAAATGCATAATTTATTTGTACTACTTTCAACTTGCTGGTTTGTTCGGTATCCGGTTCTTAACACGGGACTAGATAAATAAATAACACAAGCAATAGCAATGCAGCAAATGAGTTTGGGTAGTATATTTATATCTTCACTAGCTTATATTTATTAAGGCAGTATATATTGTATTTGCAGAGTGTTTGTAGTGAGCAGAAGGTAAATGCATTAGAAGCTAGTTTTGTGCACTCACCATCTGGAGAAAATGTTGATTGGAAGCTATCCGCAAGAATTTCTCCATCTCATGTCACAGTGAGTTATACTATTCCTTCTTTTAGTCACACCATGCTATATGCACATAAGGCACAGAATCAAAGTGTTAATGCTTTGAATACCTATATCTCAATCTATACATCTGTAACATTTAACACATTGCCTTTGTAAAGGCACACCACCCTTTCACACACATGGTACGATGGATGCATTGTTTTTTCTTCTGTCAAAGTTTTGATGCATTTTGATGCTTTGAACTTTTGTATCTCAATTTTGACATCTTGTTATGAAGTTATATTTCTTCCCAGCTTCTTAAAATACCCTACAACAACAACACCAACCTTCCAATGTGATTGATAGGTTTTCATGGAGAGTTACTATCGATTCTTAGACTTTGTAAACAGGAGCAATGCCATTAGCCCCATTCTTGCAGTAGAAACTGCAACTGTAATCCAGGTGATGCCATCATGTATTGAACTTCTTGTAATGCCAATATGCTGCCATCTTGAAATTATGTGTTGCTAAATACTAATACTAGAGTCAAACAAGTGCAGAATAAATTTGAAAAAATGACTCGGAGAGCGCAGGAGCAGTTTCAAATGGCATTGGAAGAGCAAAGCAGGTTTTGCCTTTCAACAGGCTCTCCACATTACTTTCTTTTTTGCGTATAATATTGTGACTAGCACCTTTAATGGGGACAATGTTCAATTTGAGCTTGGGCTTTCTTGCTGATATAACTTGTCCTGCAGATTTGCTCTTGATATTGATTTGGATGCTCCAAAAGTTAGAGTTCCTTTGATATCACATCTCTCCTGTAAATGTGATAGCCATCTCCTTTTAGACTTTGGGCATTTTACATTGCAAACAAAGGTGTGAATTTTTAAAACTCTAAGTTGGCTTTTCACATTCCATCATGATTGATTAAATGAGCTTTTCTTGATTCTAGGAGGATGGACATTCCCATGAGCAGGGACAAAGTTTGTATTCTCGTTTTTATATCTCTGGAAGGGATATAGCAGCATTCTTCACAGATTGTGGTTCAGATAATCAAACCTGCTCTTTGGCATCTCAACCTTCTAATTCTCCTACTTTGGAAGACATTAATAATATATATTCCCTCATTGATAGATGCAGAATGGCTGTAATTGTAGATCAGGTGTGTGACACAATGTGTCATTAATTATTTAGGCAGTGGTCTTTTAACTACTGTTAGTCACACTTTTTCCCCTTAATTTATGAACTCCATATTTTCCTCTTGAAGATTAAAAATCCTCATTCCAGCCATTCTTCAACACGCATCTCTGTTCAACTTCCAAGCATTGGAGTTCACTTCTCACCAGCTAGACTTCACAGATTGTTGGAATTGTTTGATATACTCCATCGCACAATCCCCGATACTGAACAGCACCCACTTTTCGAAAGTACACAAGCCGAACTTTTTCCCTGGCACCCACCTGATCTAGCAACTGATGCTCGGATACTTGTATGGAAGGTATGCAACTTCTTTGGAATTTTATATTATCCAACATTTTATCTTGTCATGGAATAAGCTATATGTATTGTTGATTCAGGGAATTGGATATTCCATTGCTGCTTGGCAACCATGTTATCTTGTGCTTTCTGGATTGTACCTTTATGTGTTAGAGTCTGAAGGGTCTCACACTTATCAAAGATGTTCAAGGTGCCCCCATTTTCAGTTTCATCTATCAATTGCTGCAGCTACTTGGTCATGCTCCATGGTTTGCATATAAGAATAGAATAATGAGAACATTATGAAGATGACAATAATATTCTTAATATAATCTGTGTCATTCAGTGGCTCTTACATAGACAAATAGATATTTAACAAAATGAGAGCTACCTAAGTGATGAAGAGTTTAAAGTCTTTTGCTTTGGAAGTCCAGCTTCTATTCAAAGTCTTTTTGATTCTATGAGCTATTGAACTCTCGGTTTTCAGATTATAGCAACTTTTAATGGAGGTTCTCTTGGAATTTAAATTCATATATTTCTAAAATGTTCAATACTGCAGCGTGGCTGGTAGACAGGTGTTTGAAGTTCCTCAGACAAATGTTGGGGGTTCCCCATCATGCATTGCTGTCAGTGTCAGAGGCATGGATCTACAGAAGGTAGGTGAATCTCATTATTTTCATCACTATACTGTACATTTATTCTCTACCTTTGAAATATTTGGGGGCTTACTTTGTTATTACATACCCTCCGTCCACAAATTTTCTTCCCACTTTCCTTTTTGGACTGTCCATAATTTTCTTCTTGTTTCCTTTTTTGGCAAAGAAAATACACTAAATTGTGTATTTTACCCCTACCCCTAATTAATGCACTCACTCTCACTCTTCTTCAGATTTCTTGTCCGCCATATCTTCCTTTTCTCCCATTTCTTCCTTTATCTAACTTCTTTTTCCTTCACTGCCATCTTCTTCGATTCCTCATCCGACATATTCTTTCTCCTCCGCCTGCCTTCTCCTTTGCCATCTTCAAACCTTTTTCGTTGTCAAATCTGAACAAAATCGAGTTCATCTTCATCAGATGTGAAGGAGCCAGCTTCAACTCGATAGGACTGAAAAAATCCAGCCTTGTCTTCACGGATCTCCCCTATCAAGTCGCATTGCCGCATCCATCCTCATCTCCGAACTCTTTTCTCCAATTTCTCATCTGCGGTCAAATTCTTTTCTGTAACATGATTCGTCATCCTCTATATCGGTATTTCCGCTTAACTCTCTGTTTTGATTTTATCTTTCTTCTGAGTTTATAACTCACGTCCCCATCTCCTCCCTAGGATGCTAAAACTCTGAGCGGGTCAAATTGTGCCCGCTAAAGAGATAAGAATGAAGATGAGGTCGGAGATGGCTATAGATCCCAGGGAACCCTACCCACTATGGAGATGAGATCGGAGACGAGAACGCTGATGGTTATGTATGAAAGAGATGGCCAGCGGTGGCGACTACTTTGGTGGCAGAGTCAGTAGCGGCCATTGTGGTGTAGACTGCCTGAAGAGGGAGAGGGGGTATTTTGGGAAAGTCAATGTAATTCTCCCATATCTAAATACGCGTGCCCGGCCAAACCGGGAAGAAAAAAAGTGGATGGAGGGAGTAGTTTTTACTTTTCTTGTCCTCTTGAAGCTGCCTTATGCTGTTTTATTGCTTTTTTTTCCTATATAGTTTTTTTTACATTGTTCATACTGCATTCAGAACAAATATGATACATGATAGGACGCAATTGCGTCGTTTGATCCATGTAGCCGACCCCACTTAGTGGGATAAGGCTTTGTTTTTGTATATTGCGTTCTTTGGGTGTCTGTTTTTTCTACTTCAAAAAATTTACAAAAATCTTCATTTACTTAAAAACTTACTTTAAAAAGTTTCAACATCTTCCAAAACAATCCAATTTTTTCCTTAGCTGAGGTTATTGACGGAAAGAACTTCTCTACTCCTAGGATAAAGGTAAGGTTTTCTTACATCTCACCCTCTCTAGACCTTACCTCTAGACGGGACATGCTGGGTATGTTTGGTTTATTTTGGTTTAACGGGAAAAAACTGAGTTAATACTCATTGTGGTCCATCTAAGTGCACTCGTGAGTCAATTTGGTTCATGTATATTGTGTTGAGTCAAATTAGTCCTTGTAGCTAAAAAATCTGAATGAAGTTAGTCCCTCTAACAAAATTTACCTTAACAATGAAACTGATTTGTTGAGTGGAGACATTAATTGACACAAGGAAATGACCCATGTGTTAGTTTCTTGTGTCAATTAATGTTCCAACTCAGCATTTCAGTAAGACCACTAAGATTCAACACAACATACAAGGACCAAATTGACTCACATGTGCACTTAGAAGTCTTAGAGGGACTAAAATGTGTATTAACTTTGGAAATTTTGTTAATAACGAAATGCCTGATATATTTGGGTGCATTAACACTTTTTGTTGTGCAAATGTTTTTTATCATTAAAAATAAATATATCCTTAAAATGGGACCAAGGATGTGCCGACATGTGTATACAAGGAGATTTGACCATATGAATTTATGAGTATCTAATACCGTAAGAATTTGCACAAGGTATATAAAATAGAACTAGACCAATCATGGGCTCGTGTCCCGACCCAACCCACAAAAGCCCACCTGCAAAATAATAGGCTTGGGATTTGAACTTTTTGGGAACAGGTTGGCCTTGTCCATCAAAAACAGGGGCCCACAAACTTAAGGGCTGAGGGGCTCTATGTTCAAGCCCACGGGCCAGCCTGACCTGATCTAATAATAATACAAAAAAATAATAATAGTAGTAGTAATAAAAATAATCATAAGAACAACAACGATAATATATTATTATACTCTCCACATTCCACAAAGGTGTCAAAAACATTATTTAGTCTAAATAAACCTTTCAGCACAACACTAAACTAACACTGCACCACCCATTTCCATTCCTCAACAAAACAGTAGTCTTGTGACTCAATCCCATTGAATGAAGTCTCTTCATTTCCATCAAAAGGAACACAAGTCTTGTTGTTTTTATGAGGGCTTATATGGAATATGCTTGGTAGGGTTAGTCCACTTGCTGCTTTATATTATGTTGCTCCTGTTTCGTTCATCTTCGAATGTGACAAACCCCTATCTTACATGAAATTAGAAGTTAGCTTATTGCATGGTTTTGTCCTCTATTTAACACACAAATTTGTATTTGAGAAATGGATTTGATTTCTACTGTATCTGAGCTTTGTATTTGTTTCATTAGTGTTTAGTTATGTTCATAGTTCTTATATTATGCTTTTACAGGCATTGGAGTCATTTAGCACACTGATAATAGAGTTTCGTGATGAGGAGGAAAAAACTACTTGGTTAAGAACACTTGTACGAGCTACGTATCGAGCTTCTGTAAGATTTAAGTTAATTCATCTAAGTTGTTTGCTGTTTTCTTTTTCTTTTTAAACTTTTGGCCTTTATCTTGTTTAGAATTGGAATGTTACACATTCTGTGTTTGGGTGTAGGCTCCCCCATCAGTTAATGTACTTAGAGAGCTAAGTGACGGTGCATTAGAACTTGCTGAGACCCATTCTATAAATGAAGATATGGCTGAACTTGTTGTTAATGGATCATTGGTAGAGATGAAGCTATCACTGTATGGGAAGGTGAGGTGGCTCAGTATTTTTTTCATTACTAATGATCTTTCACTTTCATGTTATATTGAGGGTACCTCTTTTATTTTTTCCATCCTGGTAAGGAAATTTTATATTTTGGCAAATGTGGTTGATGTTGATGTTGTTTTTGTTGTTGTGGTTGATGGCTTTAATACAATACACGTGGTAATGGTGCATTTTGTCTAATCCTTTTACCAATTTGTAGAGTGGAGATGAGATTGACAATACATATGATGAAACACTAATCCTTGAGGTTCTTGCAGTTGGTGGAAAGGTTTGAGCTCTCAATTCTTTAATGTAGTCTTGAGTTTGAATATATGTTTCCATGGGAGTTATGCTAAATCGCCTATGCATGTGTGCATAAACAGATATTCCCAACTATAAGCATACCAATCGACATAGGTCAATGTGGATTACTTGCAAATTCTATTGATTCTCTTCCTTCACTTTGCCAATATAAAACATGTGTTTAACTAGCAGTAATTGTTTTCTTTTGACAAATAAATTTGAGCAAATCATAAGTTTTAACTGTTCTCATAGTGGACTCATATTTACATTAATTTATTACTGCTATAAACGACCTTTGTGTATTACGAAGTATTTCTCTTAGTTGTTGCAGTATTTTCCAGGGATATTGAAAATTCCTTTATAGTAACTTTTACTCCCTCCGTCCCTAAATGAATTACATTTTACGCAAAATGGAATAAAATTCCAATTTTTTCAATCCATTATATTCAAAGATTGGTATAGAAATAAAAATTTAAACTTGCATATTTAAAAAGTACATCAAAAGGTCTACAACAATATATTTTATTTTATCATATAATCAATGAAAACACACAAACAAACAAAAATTTCCGCAATTTTTGAATAGTGAAGAGTGTAAATTCATTGTGGGACGGAAGGAGTATATGATAATTTTTTTATTTATATTAGTAATGTTTTTCCAACAACTTTTTTGTATAGATAAAGTCCCCTAATTACAACAATGTGTTGTTACTCTGTACTTTGAAAACAGTCCCTACACACACCCTCCCCAGACCCTGCTTTTGTGAGGTTCTACTGGGTTGTTGTTTGTTTTGTTATTCCGTCCCCCCATTATTTTTGGGACAGGGGGATGTGGCACACGAATTAAGAAAAGTGGAATTGTGTGGTTGATATTAAATAAAAGAAGTAAGAAAAGGTAGGAATGATTGTGAGCCACACAAATCTTACTAAATATGATATATGACAAGAATAGTGGGTCGGAAAAACATAGTAGGATGGTGGGAGTATTATTCATAACATTCGTTTTTATACATAGGCACATAGCCTCTGTGCATTGCTAATTGCCTAATTTGTGAATGGTAATACAACCATCCTTTGGATCTGATAAGTATGTGTTCTGTGCAGGTGCATGTTTCACAATGTAGTGGTGACCTAACAGTAAAGATGAAATTGCATTCATTGAAAATTAAGGATGAACTTCAGTATTCTCTATCTTCAGGTCCACAATACTTGGCTTGCTCTGTTCTGCCAGATCAGTCTGCAGCTACCTCGCCTGGTACAACAGATTCCCATGGCAAGGAGCTGGCTTTCATGACAAGGGAAGAAGAAGATGTATTCAAGGATGCCTTACAAGATTTCCTATCATTACCTGATTATGGTGAAGCCATTACCCCGGAGAAGGATTCAATTAAGGGAAGAAGTGACTTTGCTGAAGTATTTTATGAAACACAAAGCTCTGATTACTCTGATTTTGTCTCTCTTTCATACATTTCACGTCAACCTAGCTCTCCTGACTATAATGGTATAGATACACAGGTAATTTGGATGTGCTTTGACGAGAAGTAAATCTATACTAATAAGCAAAATACATAGATATGCTGATTACTCTTACATTAATACTTATTGGTTAGTGCTCTAATTCCTCGTCACATTTTACGGTTGCAGATGAGTATTAGTATGTCCAAGTTGGAATTTTTTTGTAACAGACCTACTCTTGTTGCTTTGATTGATTTCGCCATTGATGTGAGTTCTGAAAGCAGTGGAGTTGCTGATGAAAACATCATAAAAGATCCAGTGGATGAGTCAGCTATTAATAAAGAGAAGTTAGAAGAGCATGTGCATAAATATGTAAAAGGATTGCTAGGTTATGGAAAAAGCCGTGTTGTATTTAATTTGAACATGAATGTTGACAGTGTTACAGTTTTCCTTAACACAGAGGATGGTTCTCAGCTTGCATTGCTTGTGCAAGAATGCTTTATGCTTGATATTAAGGTGGGACATTTTTTAAGCTTTTCTTTTAACCTCTTTATTTTGGAAAGTTATGTGAAGTTATTTGTTTTAGTTACCTTGTTATAATTTTGATTATTATCCATGTCCGAGTCCCCTAAAATATTTTAGGCTAACACAGTTTTGTCATTAGGTTCATCCTAGTTCTACTTCCATAGAAGGCACATTGGGAAACTTCCGACTTTGTGATCTAACACTAGGATCAAACCAGCAATGGGGATGGCTTTGTGATATACGTAATCAAGGGACTGAATCACTGATTCAGGTACTGGCAGTTTCTTTGTATATTTGGACAGCTACTACAAAGGATTGGAGAGTGACATCCAGTGGACCAGTCAATGTGTAAATGAGTTTCAATACTGGCAGTCAATGTGTATATGAGTTTTCCATCATCTCCGATGGAGCCAAAATTTCACCATTTTTTGGCTTTGGGGTGTGATGGAATAAATCAAAATGGATCTCTAAACTGTCTGCGCTTCTTTAATTAATGCAGTAGCAGTTAGTCAAGCAATGCAACTTTCGACGTTGAGCCAGGGGTCTCTTTGGAAACAGCCTCTCTACTTTCAAGTAGGGGTAAGGTCTGCGTACTCACACCCTCCCCAGACCCTACTCTTGTGGGATTTGACTGGGTTGTTATTGTTGTTGTAATTTCTAGATGAATAATAACATTTTTGATCTATTTGAAAAAAGAAGGAAATACTATACTTTGAACCTCTATATGAGCTTTATTAAGAAGACTGAAATTGAGAGTGGGAAATATGTGTCATGTATTTTTGTCCTTGTTGGCGTGGGAACTTTGGTTTATTTGAGTAGTATAAACCAAAATAAGAGGTCTCATATTTTGCTTTTGGAAAATGGATATCGTACACAAACACTTGGTCTGCCCACACACCCACAAAATATCACACTCATTACCCACCACTCCACTTGTGCAAACTCTAATATATTCCTGGCACTCACTAAAAGAACATCCTTTTTTCCCAGTTTGCATTTAGTTCTCACAATTCTGAAGACGATGATTATGAAGGGTATGAATATAGCCTGTGTGGCCGACTATCTGCAGTTCGAATTGTTTTCCTCTATAGGTTTGTTCAAGAGGTGAGCTTGTCTATTTATTTATTTTCATTGTAGCAACACATTTTACTCTAGTGTTTCGTTTGCTTTCTCCTGTTCTTTAAATAGTTAGTCAAACCTGGAAAAGAACAAATGAAGTCCTTATGTCTTGTGGGGGAACCAATTGGTTTTATTCTTTTGTGAAGATTAAATGAGAAAACTACACTTACATCTTTTTGATATAAGCTCAGCCTACTGTATGAAAGAAAATTCGGAGTGAAAATGTTGGCCATTTTTTGAACTGACTAATTCTATATGTGCTCTTACAGATAACTGCATATTTTATGGGGCTTGCCACTCCACATACTGAGGAAGCTATTAAGTTTGTAGATAAGGTTGGAGGGATTGAGTGGTTCATAGAGAAATATGAAATTGATGGAGCCACTGCAATAAAGCTGGATCTTTCTCTCGATACTCCTCTGATAATTGTACCGAGGAGTTCTACAAGTGAAGAGTTAGTGACTGTCCGTCCAAGCTGCATTAATTTTTTAAACTTCACTTTTTAGCAGTTTGACCAGTCTAATATGATCCTTTGTATCATAAAATGACGAGGATACTCACTAGTCAAAGAACTTGTTTGAAGGATGATCTCTTCTAGTGCTTTAGTCTACCTCATTGATATCATTACTGTTTCCCAATGTGACATTTTCAGTAGACATTCTTTGTAGATTTTGTTTCCCAATGTGGCATGTCTACCTTTAATTGTGAATTTAATTTATACATACACAAGATATTGAGCTAAACACATTAATCTAATATATGTTGATAATGCAGGTTCATGCAACTTGACCTTGGCCATCTTCGAATTAAAAATGAGGTTAGCTGGATTGGATCCCCTGAAAAAGATCCATCAGCAGTCCACATTGATGTTCTTGATGCTGAGGTATCTAATGTTGTTGTACTTATTGAGAAGTTAGGCTTGGCTGCTGCTATTTTCATACATGCTGGATGCTGCAAAATGCAGGTTGTAGGTATTAATATGGCCGTTGGAATTAATGGATGTATTGGAAGACCAATGATACGTGAAGGCAGAGATATTCATATTTATGTGCGCCGCAGTCTTCGGGATGTTTTCCGGAAGGTCCCTACATTTGTATTGGAAGTTAAGGTGGGTCCTTGTCTCTCCCGTTGCCAAAGGTTTCAAAATTTAAACATAGATTTTCATTTATTCTCATAATGCCTAGTTTTGTGTGTAAATGGTTGTATATCTGTCAAATTGTGCAGATGATCCTGCTGTACTTTATGTAATCTTTTACTTACATAGAGATTAATAATCTGATGTTAAATAGGCATGTTAGTTAATTATAGTGTCTATAAAGTTTGTTGAAGATGGGATGCTGCCATTGACTCCTCATAAGTGTTCCATCAGTGATTATATGTTTGTATCAGTGCGTTATATTTATTACTTGATTCTTTCTTAAACAGATAGGTTTGCTGCATGGAGTGATGTCAGATAAGGAATACAATGTTATTCTTGATAGTCTCTACGTGAACTTTTCGGAGGAACCTAAACTTCCACCTCCATTCCGTAGCAACAAATCTGCTTCAAAAGATACAATACGACTGCTTGCTGATAGAGTGAACATGAATAGTCAAATACTCCTTTCACGCACAGTTACTATAATGTCTGTTGAAGTGGGCTATGCGTTGCTGGATTTATGCAACGGAGTCCATGAGGAATCCCATTTGGCTCATATTGCTGTGAGTATGGGTCTTGTTGTGCATGTGGTTAATGATTCTGAGCATGTCTGATTGTCTCACATTTGGCTTGTCTTTCGCGTATTTTATCCTGTATTATATATTACTTTTCTGTTGCAGCTTGAGGGTCTTTGGGTGTCATACCGCATGACGTCTTTATCTGAAGCTGATCTCTATGTTACCATCCCTAAGTTCTCGATTTTAGACAGTCGTCCTGATACAAAACCTGAAATGCGCCTGATGCTTGGATCATGCAGTGATGCTCATAAACAAATGTCACCTGATGTGAACATTGATCTTCCAACCTCAACAATGTTCTTGATGGATTGTCGATGGCGGACTTCATCCATGTCGTTTGTTGTTCGGATTCAGCAGCCTCGCGTTTTAGTTGTTCCTGATTTTCTACTTGCTGTGTGTGAATACTTTGTTCCATCTTTGGGAACAATAACTGGCCGAGAAGAAGTGATGGATCCAAAAAATGATCCAATTGTAAAAAACAGCAGCATAGTTTTTTCTGCTCCTTTTCATAAACAGGCTGAAGATATAGTGCACTTATCCCCTAGTAGGCAGCTAGTGGCTGATGCAGTGGGTATTGATGAATACGTATATGATGGTTGTGGTAAGACCATCTGCCTCACCGTTGAGGAGGGGAAAGAAATGCATTCATCTGAAGCGAAATACATTATCATTATAGGACGGGGCAAGAGGCTTAGATTTGTGAATGTAAAAATTGAGGTGCTAATATTTCCTTAGTTGTTTGACCTCATTACATATTTTTCCTTTTAATATTCTTACTATGCATTGAAATCTAAGATATTTTTGTGTGGCATTCTATGAGTAAAAATATTGTCCCTGAATTGCAGATTGATTTTACAATATCAATTTTGCAATAATGGAACATGACAATAGAAAATATTCCAACTCATCGCCATGTCATGATATATTGCATGTGAAAATAATGATGATGGCTTTAGAATTTTTCATCTCCATTATTACTTCTTAAGAAGGTTGCGACATGACATGCATCTGTCATAAAACTTTGCCAGAATATAAATTTTTTTGCATGATTTTATAGTGTTAACGAGCACCATTATTCGATGCCAGTGACCCCAAGTAGTTGGGATAAGGTGATGCTGCTAACGATGATCATTTGTTTGTCTCCTACCCTCCCATGAATCACACTTTAAATAACCAAAACATTCTTGGAAACAGCCTCTCTACTTTCGAGTAGGGGTAAGGTCTGCGTACACGCCCTTCTCACTCCCGAATTTTTGTGTCTCTACTGGGTTTGCTATTGATGTATTCTTGTTTTTCTTGTACTTACCTTGCACCTATGGTTGTATTTCATTTTCTCTATTGTTCAGAATGGGTTGCTATTGAGAAAGTATACATACTTAAGCAATGATAGCAGCTACTTTGTGTCCCAAGATGATGGTGTTGAAATTTTGTTTGTGGAGAGTACTATTGATACTGGCAAGAGGAGTCCGGAGAATATAGAAGAGTTGTTTTATACTTCAGATGCTGTCCAGAGTGGGGCAAGCCAGGCGCAAAGCTATAGTTTTGAAGCGCAGGTACATTTGTATTTGCTTGTGGATAGTACAGACTAGTAATCCACCTTCTTTTGTCAATCTAAATGTTGCATTATGTTCTGTATTGTTTGGAAGACTGGAATAAACTGTACATCAGTTTATTTCTCTGTTAATGATTCACTTTGAATTTTTTCTGATGTTAGATGATAAATATTGCTACTTAATTTTTCTTAATGTTAGTTTGACAAAAGTTGAGGGGATGAACATATTGGCTACAAGGATGCACTTTTTAGCCTATTAAAAAGCATCGCACCAATAAGTGTAATTGTTTTAAATTTCAACACAAGATTTTACTTATATAAAGTATGGAGTATCTTTTTGAGGTGGTTAAAAATTCAATAAAAACCATACACTCTGAGGTCGATTTAGAAAGCAATGTTGAAATCCATGAAGTCATTTGTATGTATACCTACAAAAGTGCTCATAAGGAATTATCTGTTCAGACGTGTTTCCTTCCTCTTTATTTATATATTGTTTTGTTTAATTGAGTTATTCAATGAAGATTAATTCCCGTAAGCTTCAAAATGTAATCAACATAATAGAGGATCGAGGCAAGGTGTATCTTACTCTTTAAACAGCAATTGTAAACTAGCTTGGTAGCATGCATTTAAATCCTCCACATTGGGATTTCTGCAATATCTTAATGTTAGTACTTGTTAAGAAGGATTTATTGTTGTCATGATAAAAAAACAAAAACATTATAAATTAGATTTAATTTTTCTTTTTCATGATGTTTGTTATGTTTTTTTTCACCGTTGGCTAGACCTTTGATCATTGCTGCTCCACACTTAATTATTAACTATGTTTGTGTGTGTGCACAAAAATTTGGATTCATTGATCTTTTTCATTATTATTTTACTGTTTCTAGGTTGTTTCTCCTGAATTCACTTTTTACGACAGTAGCAAGTCATCATTAGACAACTCTTCATATGGTGAAAAGCTGCTTCGAGCAAAAGTGGACGTTAGCTTCATGTAATACTCTTGTCCATTCAAATATCATTCATGTTTTGCACCCGCATTTTGATTGTCTACTTGTTCAAACCTGAGGCTGATAGGTTCTTTCCTAATAAGCAACTTAGTCTCCATCTTTTTGTCAAGTTTTCATTGATATCCTAACAAAAGCAAGAATGCATTATGTTTCATGTATAATTCTATATTATGTGTGTGTGCGAGTGATTAAGTAATTTAAGTTTACTTATACAAGATTGAATAGCCACCAAGTACTCATGAGTAATAGATCCTAAATTCTTAATAGCTACTCGGCCTTTGACTAAGAAGCTATCAAGTAACTATTTATCAACTTAGGCCTTGCTTAAGCTTAATAAAATATGGGCGTGTTCATTGGTCATTACATTTATGATCTGGACGGGGTTTTAGACAAACTATTGTGCCTTGTCAAGCTTAGACAAAGCAAATTTAATTGTTATTGGGAGTTTTTTCCATTTATCCTAATGATTTTAATTTATAAGGCATCAAGTATTGCTTCACCCTCTACTTGAATATAAAAATATATTACTTTTTCACTATTTCACATAAATCCCTAGGAAACATTTAATTAGAGCACAACTTGAGCTAAATGCCTAAATGCAATGATATTGAATGCCAAGTGTTGTAATGAGTACTATAGGTTTGGTCATGTATGTTAAGTGCATGCTATATGTGAATCTATGACTAATATGCTAAGTGCAAGCTTACCATTTTAGATTTATTATATTGTGTTATAATAATATATTTGTATATACACACATACATAAGTGGGTGTAGGGGGGATCAACCTTGGGGGAGTTGAGGGAAGATGCGAGAAGGGAAGGCGCCAATCTCGAGTTAGGCATGTGAAGGGTTTTTTTCTAAAAGACCCCTGGCTCAAGAAAATTGATTAGAACTATCAAATATTAAAACATGAGCATTTGGGTAAAACAGGTACGAAATATAGAAATGAAATGTAAATAACAACACACAAATAATTGAACCCTACAAGGGTACCCCTCTTCACCTAACCCTCCCCTATTCTCGCTCACCACCGTAAGCATCTCACATTTCTTCACCTGGGTGTCAGTAAGCAAGAAGAATATAAGCAAGTTTGCTAATGTGTACTCTAGGTTTGCAAGTGTATGCTGAGTCTATGCTAATGGCTTTCTTATGTATGCTTCTATTATTATACTAAAAAACTTCAAAGCAATCATATAAATGTGGGTTAGTGTTAAATGTGTTTTCTATGAAACCGAGTCTTATTTTCTGAATGATATACATTGCATTTTATTGAGTGGATATGCAGCCCATGTAATTGGCCCTAACTAGACTATAATAAACAACTCTCTTAACTTGTACTCCGTATAATGTATATTCTGCTATGCAAGGTAGAGAAACTTTGGTGGAAATTTATAATCAGAAAGACAGAAATCGATGATCGCAGCCTGGAATGCCCAAAAAATGGATTGCTGTCAAATGTGGTTTCCAGTATATATTATTTGATGAATGATATACATTACACTTACACCCAACTAGACTAAAACCACAGTTCTCTTGACTTGTATACACATATTCTGCTATGTATGCAGTAAGATTTCCACAACTGGTGGAAACTTCAAATCTGACAATGAAAATAATTAATTACAGCTATTTTTTTACAGAGCTACATTGCTTCTATAAATTGCAATTTGTGTGGCACACAGTACAGATTAAATAGTCATTATAATCAATGTCTGTGCAGGTATGCTGCGAAAGAAAATGATAGATGGATACGGGGTCTCTTGAAGGATCTAACTGTTGAGGCTGGTTCTGGGCTCATCATCCTTGATCCAGTGGACATATCTGGTGGATATACTTCTGTCAAGGATAAAACAAATATATCGTTATTCTCCACAGATATATATGCCCATCTTTCTCTAGGTGTTATATCCCTTTTACTCAATTTGCAAATTCAATTAGCAACAACGCTACAGTTTGGGAATGCCGATCCGCTGTCCCCTTGTACTCACTTCCATCGCATCTGGGTGTCTCCGAAAGGTTAATTTTCTTCTTTTCTTTTCTCCTTGGAATGTTATATTGTTCTTCAGGTTGTTCACAACATCTTTAAGTTTGATTTGTTACATGTTTTCAGAAAATGGGATTCTTAACCATGTTACGTTTTGGAGGCCTCGAGCTCCTCCGAATTATGTCATTCTAGGAGATTGTGTGACCTCAAGGTAATGAGAACCAGATTTGCATGTTCTCTCTTCCCTTGTGAAATGTATAAATATTTTTTGTTAGGATTCTCAAACAAAATTCATTTATTCCTTTCTTGTCTCTTGTTTGGGTTATCAACAGTTTATCCTTTGTTCTTGAAGACTATAATTGATTCATAATGCATGAGGTTTATATCTTATTCTTAGGCCAAATCCCCCGTCTCAAGCTGTTGTGGCCATTAGCAATACATATGGACGTGTTCGGAAGCCTCTTGGTTACGAGCTCATAGGTAAATTGTCTGGAACACAAGGATCTACTGGTGTAGATGATGAGTGTTCTCTTTGGCTGCCAATTGCACCAGCTGGATATATGGCGGTGGGATGTGTTGCTCACATAGGCAGCCAACAACCTCCAAATCATATTGTTCATTGCATACGCTGTGATCTAATAACATCAACAACATATTCAGAATGCTTATTTAGTGCTGCTGTAAGTTCTTCATTTATATCTGGGTATAGCATATGGCGTTTGGATAATGCTCTTGGATCGTTTTATGCCCATCAATCTACCGAGCATCCTCCAAAAGAATCTTGTTTTGATCTGAACCATCTTCTCCTTTGGAGTTCAAGTTGGTATCGTTCTTCCTCAATATATCCTTCCATTGATCTTACATATGAACATGAGTGCATGCAACCACATACATCAGGGTGGGATATCGTCAGATCAATCTCTAAAGCAACCTCGTGCTATGTATCAACTCCAAATTTTGAGAGAATCTGGTGGGATCGGGGAAGTGATCTTCGTCGACCTGTTTCCATATGGCGGCCTATAACACGTCCAGGTTATGCTGTACTGGGTGACTGCATAACTGAGGGGTATAGCTCTATTATGTTTTCATCATTGAGACTTGTTTTCACTTTAGTCTTTATCCTAACATTTTAAATGTGACATCTCACTTTGCTACAGCCTTGAGCCACCACCTCTGGGCATGATTTTTAAAGCTGACAACCCTGAAATTTCTGCCAATCCTGTGCAATTTACAAAAGTGGCCCATATTCTAGTAAAAGGACTTGATGAAGCTTTCTTTTGGTATCCTATTGCTCCTCCTGGTTATGCTACCTTAGGGTGTGTAGTAACACGACATGATGAAGCACCACCTTTGGAATCTTTCTGCTGTCCAAGGATGGATCTTGTTAGTGGATCTAATATTGTTGAGATTCCAATCTCAAGATCATCAAGCTCAAAAGCTTCTCAATGCTGGAGCATCTGGAAAGTTGAAAATCAGGTACAGTTACATATGTTGAATGATCTTATTGGTCAGCTCTTTTTGGGCTCTTGGCTCTGTTTGATCCCCTTTAGTTCTTACCCTTCTAGCTGGTATCTGTAGGCTTGCACATTTCTTGCAAGACCCGATATGAAAAAGCCTTCTACAAGGCTGGCTTTTGCTATCGGTGATTCAGTGAAGCCCAAGACCAGGGAGAATGTGACCTCTGAGATGAAATTAAGATGTTTTTCCATTACCTTTTTGGACAGCTTTTGTGGAATGGTTAGCAAAGATTTCAAATTTCTCTCTGTTTAATAAATTAAAAATGCAATCCTTTAATTATCAACTGGTTTGTGTTGTTGGCCAGATGACACCACTTTTTGATGTCACAATAACAAATCTCAAACTTGCAACACATGGTCGGATAGAGGCGATGAATGCGGTACTCATTTCTTCAATCGCTGCTTCAACTTTCAACACACGGTTAGAAGCATGGGAGCCATTTGTGGAGCCATTTGACGGGATATACAAGTAACCTATCATTACGAGGATTCTTTATTTGGTTACAGTGTGTTCTAGTATAGCCGTCCCATTCTAGTAATATTGCATTACATATGCAGATTTGAGACATATGAGACAAATATTCAGTCATCATCAAGTCTTGGAAAAAGGCTGCGCATTGCAGCAACTAGTATCTTAAATATAAATATTAGTGCATCAAATCTTGGCACCTTGGCACAGACTGTCAATTCATGGAGGAAACAGAGAGAGCTCGAACAAAAAGCCATCAAATTACTTGAGGCAAGAAGAAAAACTCTTAATATATTATTATTCAAACTTCTTTTTACTGTAGTGGTTTTGTGCTCGCTTTTTAATTATTCAAAACTAAAAATTATTTTTGAGACTATCATTTGTTACTTTTGCAGGAAGCCCGTGGTCGTCAAGATGCTGACCATCAGAGTTCAACTCTTTCAGCATTGGATGAGGATGATTTTCAGACTGTAGTAGTAGAAAACAAACTTGGATGTGATATGTATTTGAAAAAAGTTGAGGAGAACTCTGATGCAGTTGAATTATTACCTGCTGATTCTTTTGCCTCTGTGTGGATTCCACCTCCAAGGTTTTCTGACAGACTAAACGTTATTGAAGAATCAAGAGATCATAGGCGCTATGTTACTGTTCAGATTGTTGAAGCAAAGGTTGCCACTTTTCTCTTGATTATATCCACTTTTTTTATAATCATTTTTTGGTTGCACATCTAATTTTTTGTCTACTTTCATTTCAGTCTTTACCTGTTGTTGATGATGGCAACAGTCATAATCTCTTCTGTGCATTAAGACTGGTTGTGGAGAGTCAAGATACAAGTCAGCAAAAGGTTTTTCCGCAGAGTGCCAGAACCAAATGTGTGAAACCATTAATTGCGAAACTAAATGGTCAAGATGAGGGCACAGCTAAATGGAATGAACTATTCATTTTTGAAGTTCCCCGGAAGGTAATACTTGAAAAGTGTGGACTATCAATAGTAAAAGATTGGGTCAGGCTTTTGTAACTAATTGTCTATTATTTATCCTGCATGTTATTAATCTTTTTGATTCACTTTTAAATCCTACACTATAGGAAAGAGGGATAGAGATAGCCTAAGAATTGTTGGAAGGAGGTGATTAGACAAGGCTTACGACTTCAGGATCTTAACAAGGATATGGCCTTAGATAGGAGCGTGTGAAGGTGTCACATTAGCATGCTAGGGTAGAACTTTGGGCCTTAGTTTGTAGTTTCTGTGTGTGCTTTGTACGTAAGGTTATACATATGTGTTTCTTTTTTTATGTGTTCATACTTTGCTCTTGATACTTTCCTTTGTCGAATGTTGTGTGCTCTTTTGCTTTGAGCCAGGTGTCTCTTAGAAACAACCTCTCTACTTTCTTAGTAGGGTTAGGGTCTACGTACAATCATCCTCCTCAGACCCCACTTTTGTGGGATTTTACTGGTCTGTTCTTGTTCTTGAGATTCCTGAGAACAATGACATTGGTTATAGGATGTTCAATTAAGAGATATTGAGATGCAAGAATGGATTCAAGTCAAGTAGCCGTTAGAATAAACACACTCAATGTCTAATTTCATTTAAGTAGCTTTTAGAATAAGCATACTCATTGTGTCATCATTTTTTGTTACATTTATGCTGCAGGGATTGGCCAAGCTGGAAGTAGAGGTGACAAATCTTGCTTCAAAGGCTGGTAAAGGTATCTGTGATATTGATTTTCAGTACTTGTGGGTGGTCTTCTTGTCTTATTTTCATCTTTTTTATTATGTAAAGAGCATGGTATGTGCAATTCGTTACCCACAGTTGCTGATGTTGTTTAATGAATGCTTCTCTATGAGGCAAGTTGTTTTTTTCCATGAAGTTATAACTTTCCTGGAATAGAGTATGATGTAGAACATGTGTTCTGAGTAATGACTTGATTTTTTTTGACAAGGTTGTACCTTTTTCATGTCTAATAACCAGTAGTTCAATAAGTGCTTCTTTGCCTAATTCACCCAAAGCTTCATTAGTGCTTATTCTACTGTATACTTTGTCAATGTAGGTGAAGTCGTCGGTGCGGCCTCATTTTCAGTTGGGCATGGTTCTAGTGTATTGAAGAAGATTGCTTCTGTGAGAATGCTGCATTCAACAAGTAATGCAGAGAAAATTTTGTGCCACCCACTGAAAAGAAAAGTCGGTTTTCTCTTCATAACATTTTCTTTTACTCCATCTTATAATCTCTTTACAGACATGCTTTTTCCCCCTTTACATCTTGTTATACATTTATAATATTTTCCAGGGTCAGCTGAATAATGAGAGTGATTCTCCTGGTTGCCTTTTTATTTCAACTTCTTACTTCGAAAAGAAAACAACGGCGAACTTCCAAAATGATCTAGGGGAGAAGGATGGTATTGAGAGTGATGTAGGTTTTTGGGTGGGTCTTAATAAACACAGTCCATGGGAAAGTATTCGCTCATTCCTTCCCATGTCAGTGATCACCAAAACAGTGAACAGTGATTATTTGGCTGTAGAAGTTGTCACCAAGAATGGGAAAAAACATGCAATTTTCAGAGGACTTGCTACAGTATGTAATGATTCGGATATTACGCTGGAATATTCGTCATGTGACATGTCCGTGATTCACTCTCAAGAACGCAGAACACATCAAGTTCAGGAGAGAGGAACAAGTGGTTTAATTAGTCCTGGTTGTTCATCTGTTTTGCCTTGGAAGTGCACATTTAAGGATTCTAATAATTGTTTACAAGTTCGTCCTTGCATTGATCATTCTCAAACTGCTTATGCATGGGGCCAACCTGTTTTTTTGGGATCTGGCTATGTACTTGGAAAGGACCTACTTTCGATTGAGCAAAGCACTCTATCGAGGCAAAATACTTTGAGACAGGGAAGCGGTCTACCTGTTTCACCTTTGAAGCTCAATCAACTTGAAAAAACAGATCTGCTTTTTTGTTGCCCTGGTGCCACAGGTAAACGGGCTTGGCTCTGCGTTGGTACAGATGCTTCAGTTCTTAACACAGAGTTAAATGCCCCTGTTTATGATTGGAAAATATCAATTAGCTCCCCTCTGAAGCTGGAGAATAGACTTCCGTGTGAAGCTGAGCTAAGAATTTTTGAAAAAATCAAAGATGGAAGTATCATAGAGCGACATCATGGTTATTTAGCTTCGCGTGAAACCATGCACATATATTCTGCTGATATAAGGAACCCTCTCTATCTTATGATGTTTGTTCAAGGTGGTTGGGCTCTGGAAAAGGTATGAAGTTCTTGATGTAAAGGTGACATGCGCACACTTTAATATAGATAATTACTAATTAGGCATGCTTGTGGAAAACAAATCTAATATATATCTTTTTTTATTATTAAATAGGACCCTATTATGTTCTTGGATCTTATAAATAATAGCCATGCCTCATCATTTTGGATGGTCCACCAGCAGAGAAAAAGGTATGTTGTTTGCATCAAATATATATTTAAGAAAATAAATGTGATCTAGGAAACAATGTTTTTTATATAAAGAACTTGAATTTTAGTCGCTTATGTTATTGAGGGAGAGAGCAACTTTTGTAAGAGGCTCTCTCAAAGATGAACTCGTCTGCTGCACTCTTCTCATGATAAAAAAGCAGAATGGAAAAAAAAGATAGCAGTGTATGCCATATTGTAATGTAATGGAAACAATGTAATATTGAAAGATTTTAGATAACTTATAGCTTATTAGTGCCCATATGCACTTCTGGTCTGCTTTGAATTTTTCCTTTCTTTTTCTTCTTTTTTCTCTGTTTTTTGGAGTTGACTATTGGATACGTTTAAGATTAAAATACTAGGGCTAGCGGGTGGTGCTAGGAGGCCAGCACCTGCTAGGAGCGGAAGCAAACAGCATAGAAAGTAGAAAGAGGAAAGTGTGTTTAATAAACACATTTCAATGCATGGATTGATATTTGTGATGATATTTATGAATAAATGCAATGCATTTATAGGACTACAAATGACATCACAGATTCACAAGACGAGATCACAAGGATGAAGCCATACTTTTAGGCACTTCTAAACTACTTTTACAGCTATTCTCCATAGTAGGTTTTCAATCTCTGCTTTGTTTGGTGAAATAACGATTATGGAGTTTAGGCTTTGTTTTTTTATGGCATGTAGGCGGTGTAGCCCCATTTTAAAAAGATGGTTTTGTTGTTGTCTAACTTGCAAAGAACCATCTGAGTAACATGAGTTTTGTCATATACTCTTATATTTCAGTTAATGATGAATTTGCTAACTGATGTTTACTATTCCAATTGGTCTGTTGACTAGGACATTGCGAGTAAGTATTGAACGTGACTTGGGAGGGACGACTGCTGCTCCCAAAACCATAAGGTTCTTCGTTCCTTATTGGATTACTAATGAGTCCTACTTGTGTTTGGCATATCGGGTCGTGGAAATCGAACCGGGTGAGAGTGCAAGTGTGGATTCACTTGTGCTTTCTAGAGCTGCTAAGTCTGCTAAGTTAGCATTGAGAAGTCCATCTACTGTGGGACGTAAACAAATAGGTCCCAGGAAAATCATTCAAGTTCTTGANATGCTTTCTCCTCAAGACTATGTAGGGCGTGGTGGTGTGGTGCTGTTTTCATCTCGCAATGATTCTTATCCTTCTTCGCGTGTGGGCATTTCTGTTGCTATTCAAAACTCTGAAAATTTCAGTCCTGGTATCTCTCTTCTTGAACTAGAAAAGAAGGTGATATTTGTACCTTGTTATTGAAAATATTTAATAGATTCAAATTGTATTTTAGCATTTACTATGTATTTCAAATTGTGTTTTTGAACTCAAATTGGCTTTCTTACAGCAACGAGTAGATATCAAAGCGTTTGGGCCAAATGGAAATTATTACAAGCTTTCTGCTGTGTTGCATATGACGTCAGACAGAACAAAGGTTTGCTTTTAAATTTCTACTCTTTGTTTGTGTGTGTGGGGTGGGGGGGTGTATGTGAAGGACTCTGTTTGGGTTTTTCCCTTGTTTCATTTTTTTTATTTGTATTTGAATTCTTAAAACTAACTTCCATTCCTGGATGAACCTGTTTGATTTGGCAAACTTACGTTTTCATGTATGTAATGACAAAATTCAGAATTTTGACATAATTATTTTGTTTATTGAGGGATGGGTTTTCAATTTAAATGTTTTTTAGATTTGTTTATACATGAAAGCTTCCTTTATTCATCTGTTAGGATATTATCACGGGTTGAGTGTCAGAAATTTAAATGGTATTTTTTTGTTTAGTTACTATTTACTTTTGCTACATGGATGTGCAGGTTGTACACTTTCAACCACATACTTTATTTCTTAATAGGCTTGGCTGCGATATATGCCTCTGTCAATGTAATTCTGAGTTGCTTGAATGGATACATCCAACTGATCCCCCGAAACATCTTGCATGGCAACATGATAAAGTTGAATTGTTGAAGGTCGGTAGAATTGACATTCTTTTGTTGGTTAGGTGTGCCTTCTCAAAGCATATGAATTTCAGTTTTTATTTTTTATTCTGAGTTATATTTATGTTTTTTTCTCAGATAAGGCTGGATGGTTACAAATGGAGTGCGCCATTTAGTGTCGGTGCTGAAGGTCTGATGTGTATCTGCTTGAGAAGTGAAACTGGAAGTAGCTTAATGCATGTTAGGGTTGAAGTAAGAAGCGGTTCGAAAGAGTCACATTATGAAGTAGTTTTCAGGCCGAAGGCATTTTCAAGTCCTTACAGGTTTATTGTGATCTTTGTATTTTTCTTAACATTACTTTCTTTTCCAATTCAGAAAAAACCTCTCTACCTTTTCTTGGTAGGGGCAAGGTCATCCACCTCCCGGCCCCCAGACCCCACTTGTGGAAATTTATTTGGTTGGCTGTTGTTGTTGTCCATTCTTTTCCCAAACAAAGCAAAAGTACTCTTTTGCAAACAAGGTTAATAAGCAAGAATTTAAAATTTATTGGCACCATTGTTTGATAACTTCAATTGTTACACTTGGCATTTTCTACATCCAGACACGGAGTGCCAGACCAGTCTGATATTTGTTAAATGTGTGGAAAGATAATTAAATCTATAGAGAATCGAACATGTGATTTCTAGGTCAACAAAGATCTTATACCATGTCAATGATTATTGGATCTAATTTAGATGACATTATGAAACAGACACATGCACTCTAATTTAGCACAAATCTGCTGGCAAAACATATCTTTTAGTGAAAACATAGTGTCACTCCAAGATTTGCGCCATGCTTGTATTGGAATCATTTATATAGCCATTTTAAAGTTTTGTCTAACATAATCTGAACATGAACCCTTGACGGTGGTCTCTATTGTGGATGTGGTGCATTGTTTCCTCCTTCACTTGCTCATCAACTTGTAAATATTCATATCAGTTTCATTCTTTTGTTCTTGAAGTTTTGGTTCACGTGTCTGCTCACTTAGCTGTATGAGAATAATTCGGTGGTGTTTGTATTAATTTCTGGTATTTCCATATTATTCTCTTTTCAATAGCCTCCATCAACATCACCATTATCATCATCATCAGCATAAATATCACCTCGGGGTCAGCGGCATTAAATTTGTAATGCCAATTAATTGTATAGAAGTAACTGACACTATGATTTCTTGTTAATACTTGTTACAATTTTTTGGTCTAAGATTAGTTAGTATTTTTTTGTTGACAGGATTGAAAATCACTCTTTACTTCTGCCAGTTCATGTTCGACAAGTGGATGGAACAAATGATTCATGGAGAGTTGTTTTTCCTAATGCTTCTATTTCTTTCTCATGGGAAGATCTTGGTCGTGAAAGATTGATTGAGCTCTTGATAGAAGGGAATGACCCTGCTTCTTCAAGAAAATATAATATTGATGAGATCTCTGATCATCAGCCCGCCCATGCAGCTAGAAGACCCGAGAAAGCTTTACGTGTAACTGTACTAAAAGAAGAGAAAATGAATGTTGTCAGAATCAGTGACTGGATGCCAGTTAATGATACACTCACTAATTTGAATAGAAGCCCTTCATCTTCACATATCTCTGGCAGTTCTCATTCTCAGCAGTCTGTATACACCTCAGATTCTGAGTTTCATGCCATTGTTGAGGTTGCGGAGCTTGGACTATCTATTATTGATCATACACCAGAAGAAATATTATATCTATCAGTACAGAGTCTTGTGCTATCTTATTCAACTGGACTGGGTTCTGGAGTCAGCCGGTAAAGTTCTCATTAAGTTGTTTATTTGTTTTATAGCTGTAGCTTTGTTGTTTAATCAATGCATGTGCATGGAAGTTTGATTTAAGCTCTTATACTGCTATTTTTTACAGTCTGAAGGCAAGAATGCGTGGCATTCAGGTCGACAATCAGTTGCCGTTAAGTCCTATGCCAGTTCTCTTCCGACCACAAAGGATTGAAGAGCACGCTGATTATATCTTGAAGTTCTCCTTAACACAGCAGTCCACTGGATCATTAGATTTGTGTGTCTATCCATATATAGGTTTCCAAGTGAGTAAATGATGCTTCTTATAATCTCACAAGTTCCCTTCTTAAAAGTGCACTCATAAACTATTTGATGTTTTAATAATATGTTTATCCTTTTAGGGACCTGAAAATTCTGCATTTTTGATCAACATTCATGAACCTATAATTTGGCGCCTTCATGGAATGATTCAACAGGCTAGCCTTAGCGGGTTATTTGATACACAAAGTACCTCTGTTTCTGTTGATCCCATAGTTCAAATTGGGTATGTACCTATTGCCTTGTGTGTTTTGACTCATTTTTGTTGTTTGGTTACTGTTCTGTCTGTATAGAATACTGGCTAAACAAGAGGTATACATGTTGACAGTGCTTTTAACATTTCGGAAATCCGAATCAAAGTATCAATGGTAATGTCCCCATCACAGCGGCCTGTAGGTGTTCTCGGGTTTTGGTCAAGTTTGATGACTGCACTTGGGAATACTGAAAATATGCCAGTAAGCACCAACTGTTACCTAATCTCATAATAGAAATATCAAATGTGTGGTTAGTCTGGTCATTGGGGAGTGTTGATTTCAGTTATTATCCATTTTGTTAGTTTAGCACTTTAGTAAAGGAAATTATTCCAGAAGCAATGTCTCACTATTTACCAAATGTGTTACCTTTTCCTATATTTATTAGGTTCGCATTAATCAAAGGTTTCTGGAAAATGTATCAATGAAGCGTAGCATTTTGGTTGGAAATGCTATTGCAAATGTTAAGAAGGATCTTCTTAGCCAGCCTCTCCAGTTGCTCTCAGGTGTTGATATACTTGGGAATGCAAGTAGTGCACTTGGTCACATGAGTAAAGGTGTTGCTGCCTTGTCAATGGATAAGAAATTTATTCAAAGTCGACAAAAACAGGTTCGTAGAAGATCATTTTCCTATTATCTTCTGCCTTTGATGCATTTGTGCTCTTCATGGTTTAGAGAAAACTCAAGTGTAAAGTAAAATCAAGATAGGAATGTCTTCCCCTATGAATTAGAAATTAGTACTAACGAGGGGATTATCAGATGTTGTTTGTTTCTTTTTTTACTAATCCCAGAAATGGCCTTGGTACTACTTTCTGTTGGACCAATCTTGACATTCAGTAATAGTTAGGGGGTTTATTTTGTAATTATGTTGAAGTCTTTATTTGTTAATAATTAGGGTAGAGTCAGTCATAATTTTAGGAGATATATCTCAGATGGATTTGAGATTATCATAGCTTGTAGGAGTAGGAGATGCTATGCTTGGAGAGCAAGGCTGATGATTTAACTTGGTGGACAAGGTTAACTCATCTATAAATAGGGATAGTTTCTCTATATTTTATGTATTCAAAGTTTTTCAATTAATTGGAGAAGGATTTCCAATAAGTTCTTGTTCTAGATTTCTGTTTTCTGTTTATCGAGATCTGGTACCAATAACTCCAATTGGTATCGGAGCTGAGTTCGAAGGGCCTGAAACTCTCCTGATCCAAAAGGGCTGGATCAATTACCAGATCCGAAGACAGGGCAGAAGTACAAGCGTCGATCTAAGAACAATACGATGGCTGATGCCAACAACCAGGTTGCGGTAATCAAGGATAACAACAAGCTTCCATTCCAGTGTCCGATCCTAACCGCGACTAATTATCCCATCTGGTCGCTTAGGATCAAAGCAATTTTCAAGGCGTACGAAATCTGGGAATCGATTGATCCTGGAACAGATGTCGATCGGAAAAAGGATAATTCCGCTATCGCATATTTGTACCAGGC